ATTCGTGTCAATGTAATTAGCTGACTCTAATTGGGGACACAACGTAAATGAATAATCTAATTAATGATAAGAAATAAGTATAGATTATATAACCTAAGAGGTACAAACTACGCACGCGGGGCAATTGTTACCATTTATCAGTTCAGTGAGATCCTTACGCCTAATATGAAACTTAAACCTAGAAAGGCTACTAATTTCAGTGATGTTTTTTTTTCAGTTTGTTCCATAAAAATGGTCCAAGATATCTGAGAGAGTGTTTACAATACAATACAGAATTAAACCTAGGAGCGCTTACTATGCTGGGAAATTTTTTTCCCAGCGTAAAGAAAACGACAAATCGATGAATCCGTGTGGTTTTCGACCACGTGCCTTGCCAAAGCCCACGCGAGTCAGAAAATCTGGTTCTGTCCTGGTGTACCGGATCACAAGGGAATTACCATTGTTCTTTCTTTGTTTAGGAGTTATCGGTTAGCTATTGTGTATTGATTGGTCTTTTGTATTGGCTCTTGTGAACCGGTACACGAGGACAGAACCGAAAATCTGCTGTCGTTGAATTGATAATTTCTTTGAGAAACGAACCGTCCGAACTGAGAAAGCTCGACGAAATAATTCTAAAAGGAGTAATATTAATGCTCATAAAAATGTAAGCGTCCATTGCTCAATACATGGCAAAAAAAGTACTCAATTAATGCTCGATTTCTTTGAAAAGTGCTTGAAATTTAGAAATAGTGCACGAACGTTGCTCGCTGTTATGTTTTTTATACAGAAGTTTATACATATTCCTTGTTTTATCAAACTACTTTACTTGTAACTCTCGATTTTCTAATATACTGAAGTGACCATAAATTATGACGTTTGTCGAACAAAAACTCTTTATTATCCGTCAAGCATGGTTTCTAAAGCACACAGCATCACAGAACTGTATGCAATCAATCATGTAACTACAACTTCGATCATCGTCTCAAGGTCACGAACCAATCAAAATCGGCTGTTCGCACGGTGAAAAGGATCAAAGCTCGTGTAATTCCATGACAACAGTCAGCCAGACAAGCGACAAGGTGGAATTATTCATAATTTATGCTCATGATAATAGAATTATTCGGCTTTACTGAAAACGTTTCAAAGACAAAATGTTTCATTTAATATGTGGAAAATTGTGAATAATGTCCTGAAATGTTTCCCAAAGAGCGAAAAAATGCTCAAATTCTGCTCAAAAGTCAATTATTAAGTGCTCTAGAGTGCTGGAAATGTAAAATAGTACTCCAAATTCGAAAAAGTGCCGAAGAAATGCCGAAGAAATGCTCAGCGCAATCGGGACAGGCCCATCTCTCTTGCCGATGTTCTTTCTCGGCCAATGCTGTCCAGGCTTGTGCTGATCCCGCCACTCGCTCCGGGAATTCTCAGGGTTACATATTTATTTTGTAAATATTTTAGCCTTGTAAATAACTCATTTTAAAATCTTAGCAAACTTTAAAAGAGATGTGAGAAATGAAGTGGTGTTCTATAGCTAGTTTACCATTATTTTAATTTCTGGGTCAAATTGGAACACTTATACCTGCACTGCCTTTCATAAAATGTATGACTTTTCAGCCAAAGGGTTCATCAACAGAAATCTCCCTAATCTACCCATCCTTCCAAAAAACGCATTCTTTTTCATGCTTATTGTTAATTAAAATTTAGGTTTCCCCACTGTTTAACCGATGGAAGCTTAACGCAGTGAAACATAAAACCCATATCCTGAAATGAATTTCCTAGTCTATTTTCCTTCGCTACCGGAAATAACTTTTTTTCTTCCCGGCATCCATTAAAAGAATTGGATGTGGTAAGGACCAAATGACTCGAAACCAGAATAAAGGAAAAATATTGGTCTTCGGGACCGCGTCGCAAGACTTTACAGAGTATCCTAACATTTCGGAAATTGTCAAACAATGCAAAAAAAAAATCGACTGCGGTTCGGCTACCACTGTTTTTGGTTGAGCTACTCAAGGTAAGATGAGCTGTTGACTAAAACCAAGTATGCGAGTCGAGAATAGTCGATAATAGCTAGGTGTACCGAGAGCAAAATTCCTCAACAGTCACCACAGCTTCTCAGGTTTGAAAGTTGTCAAACGGATCAAGTAATTTATTTTGCGACGTAGAGTTTATCGAATCTACTGCACAGATGCACTTGTTGAAGAGGGTAATCACATCTAGTAAGTTAAATAAAACGTTTGTGTCTTAAAATGGCCAAAATAAATTTAAAAACTTAACGAGTCTTCTGGCGAGAATGATCTTCTTGGAATAACTTAATAACAGTTATCCACATTCTTTTAAACTTTGGAGAAAAAGTCTGCACTTGTGAACTTTGTTTGGTGCTGACCTTTTGGCAGGAAAAATCTTGAATTTTGCGAAAGGTTTTTTCCCAACAAAAATTTAAGCGAAGATTTTGTTGGTAATGGTAATGAAGATTTCTAGCGAAAACATTCTGATAAAAAACTGTAAAAATCACATTTGAAAACATAAGCTACTTAAATTCACGAAATACGACAACTTCATCAATTACCAGGAGATACTGGAGTTTTATCCAAAATATTGTCTGCAACGTTTTCAAAACAAATTTTGTCTGAAAATTTTCGTGCAATGCATGATTACTGTTACAAGAACGCTTACCTTACTTGAAACCAATCCAATCACCTTACTAAATGAGTTATTGAAATTAAAAATATCAAAAAGTTTCTAATTTTCTTCATCATCTCTTGACTATTAAATCCTCCTTAACTTAATTTTGAAAGCCTCGGTTCACTTTAACCAAAAGAAATTTAACTTGTCTAAAGTAATTGACGAGTTTGTCTTGAGAAGGAAGTTAACGGTGCCGAGGTATAGTTGTTACCTCTAACATTAAACATTTTTTTAGTAATGCTTACAGTTATGAGATAATAGAAAATCTTTGAAAATCAATTAAATGACTCTAGTTTCTCCTACCTTCGTTGGGGAGTCTTTCTGCTCTTGGTAATTTAGCAGGTCTGTTCTTCTCATCGAGAGTTTCTTTATCCTCGAGTTTTCTCTTTTCTGAGTGACCTAAATCACAAACGAGGAAATGAGGCATTTTAATTCTTATACTTTCAGAAGCGATCAATGAGTAACTTCTCCCTATAATATCCATACATGACCCAGCAAACAGGTAATGAGAATACTCAAACTTATCTGGTTGTAGTTTATACCTTGATTGAACACCAAATTTTCCTGACCAATTTGCAAGGAAATATGTAGCAGCTAGTGGGGAGAATTCCCTCATATAGGGATTGTTGTCCAAACTTTCGCAATAAAAGCACACGTGGCACTGCAAGGGCCATCGTAAATGACAAGTTTTTTCCCCCCTGAATATTTCTACCCCTCCTCTCCCCCCCCCCCCATCTCATGGAATCTTTGTGTTGGGGGTTCTACTTACCTTCTATTGGCCTCAGACTGACGTAATGCAACTCATGTACATGCCCTAACACAAGGAGGTGTCTGTATTCACCTCTCTGATCTGGCGTGATAGTTGTGTTATCGGTAGAGGGCAAATTACTTATTACACGTATCCTTGTTTTATAATAGTTTGCTGCAGCACGAAGAATCAAGTGATCGCCCCAAGTCCCATCTTGCTGCATCTTTGTGAGGTAATCCTCCCATGAATGACAGTCATGGACAAAGCAGAAAAGGTCTGTGCCATCAGGCTGCAACAAAGAATTCAAATAACTCAAACATATGAAAAGAAGAAAAGAAATGGTATGAATGGGGGGATTTGGTTAGAGTAGACTCCAGTTAAACATTACAGTCTTAATGACAGTTGTTCTCAAGTTTATCTCACTTTTGCGATAATGCGATTCAAACACTTGAAAACAGTCATTGCGTGTTTATATGTAACTGTAACTGAATGTGTTAATCTCAGATAATGAACCCTTATTATATCACTTAAAAGGCCGAAATATAACATTTTAAGCTAACACGAGTTTACCGTTGTTGGGTTGTTCCTGAGGTACTGCACCAAGGTTCGTCGTACTTCACTCTGTTCGATTTTGATTCCTATGACAATGTCAAGTTGATCTGACAAGGCATGGAACAGACAATTTCCTTGTCCTTGATTGGGAAACACTTCAAAACCCTTTCCTAATGCAGCGATCTCTAGATCCCTCAATGGGTTACTTCTCTCAACATATCGACTTGTGGTACGAATGTTCAAGCCAGTTGGAGACACTTGTGCTACTGCAAGGGAGAAAAAACATCTCATCGCCCACACTCTAATCCACTTTCAACAAAGAATGTTCACATCTAAATTACCATGGGTTGCAATTTACGTCAGATCCTTAAATCTTCACTCTAATTCGTTCCAAAAAAGTACTGGATATTAAAGATCACGGCTAAGTTTCTCCCAATCATTTATGTAGGAATACACTATCAACTACATTTTGATGTTACTAAGTCCTCAAGACTGAAATTTCTTTTCATTGCCTTAAGTAAACTGCAACTGAAATAAGTTATTTACTGAAATGAGTCTAGCGAAGTTCTCTTTCGTAATCCTGACTAGGAGGGATGGGGGGACATAATCCAAACAACAAGTTCACTTACATGTACGTAATTCTCTTCTTACCTTGTTCAGTGTCCTTTACGATGTAGCAATACCTGTGGGCAAGATCTTTTCTTTGAACGAGGGGATGTTCTAAGCCTTGAGCAAGGGCCTTAAAGTCAGCTGCAGAACCGTTACATGCCTTCCATTTTCTAAGCATTTTATAACACTTTTCGAAGGTGTCTGGTTCTTCTCGGTCAATGCTGGACAGTTTTGGTTCCTCCAGCCTCAACTGTCGTCCTAGTACCTTCCAGCAATCAAAAATATCATTGGCAAGGTGTTCGAGATCAACTTGTGAAGGCGTTCCACCTTTAAGCGAGGCCGTGTTCTCCCAAGCCACTGAAAAATATCCATCTATAAGAAATTATTTGGATATAATCATTTGCTTGATCATCATATCTGCATTGGTTACCACACTGCCAAAACTAGCTAAATTAAAAAGTAACTGCATTTGCATTAGAGTATTACCTAAACTTACCGAAGAAAATCTCAAATTCCCGAACCATCGCTGTCCTCTACGTATAATATACAAATTTACCAGCATTAGAAGAAATTTATTAGTGAATACATACAATTTAAATAATCAATAGACTGAAATCACCTTGGCAAATTTGTGGAGTCACTGCCTCATTGTAACAGTATTGACGTGCAAGGTCTCCTCTTTTAATGGCTTCATGTTCCAAGGCTCGAGCCAAGGTTTTATAATTAGCAACAAAACCAAAGGCTTCTACCCACTTTCGTAGCATTCTGTAACATTTCTCATATACATCCACTTCTTCACGATTAATACAAAACATATTTGCTTCAGACAATTTCAGCTGTCGTCCAAGTGCCTGCCATGATTCGTGAATCTCACGGGCAAGGTGTTGGAGTTCATTATATGAAGGAGTTCCAGATTTCAGAGAGAAAGAGGTGGAAGTGTCTGTTAAAAAAATACAGCACTTGTGACTCTGTCACTGTGATTGAATGCGTCGTAAAAGACATTTGGCAACTTGCAACTAGTCAAGTTTAAAAATATCAGATAACAGTTTCCATGAAACGTTCAATCTCAACAACAGTAATTACTGAACTAAGCACCAGATAAAGGGACAAACGACATGGAATCAAAAATAAAAATGATATGCTCCCCCTTCCTTTACAAACTGAATTCAGCGCTCTTAGCTCAACTCTTTTCAAGGCCGTCATTTGGCGACCTAGATTCGTAAAATGGTTTCCAGTCTCAGCTTGGAGCTGAGACCGTTTGGAGGTTTTTTTTATTTAAAAAAAGTTACGACTTTCTTACCTCCACGAGAAAAAGTTTCCTCCCCATTCTTGACATTCTCGTCCTCCTGTACAGTAAGATAAAGACAATGTTGCAGATATGGATACATAAGCACTATGTTATCGAGCAGCTTAGTCTTTCCACCTTGCAGGGCCAGATGTATGATAATGTCTTAAGAATGACTCATTGCTTAGATGAAATGGACACCATTACATGAATACATGACAACTTACCATTGAGAACCATTTTTCTAGACCAGGAATCGTGGGTACTTTATCACAGAGACTTTTTCCACATAGCAGTCGTTCTGCTGGTGCCATCTTAAGAAGACAAAAGCACTCTTCATGGGTACAGGATATCTTGCCATGGTTCTGACAGTGTTTTCTCTCTATTGGGCAAAAGGGACATTTGACGCACAGCTCATACTTCAAATTGCCTCGCCAGGGAATTTGCTGAGCCATATCTTGCAACGTACTTTCTAGAAAATTTCGCAAATCTTTCTTAACTTCTCTTCCTTCAGCTAAACATTCTTCACTGACTGGTTCTCTGTGCTTCAAGATAATCTTGATATATCGCTTCTTGCAGAGAAGGGTTAACGGATGAATAAACTTTTTCTCGATAAAGAACCTGGCTGCATAGCAATACAGGGTGGGTGGTCGTTTGCACCAACTGATGCAACGAGAGACAAGCTGGTAAAAAATTCCATGGGGAACAAAACCATTTAAAAAGTCAAGATACAACGGACATGGATCGTCCATTTCACAAAGATCTTTCGGTAATGATTTAAGCTGCGCTGGAACAAAATACTGCACAGGCTCCTGCTTTGATGTTACAAACTTAGCAACAAGACCAAAACGCTCCATCATGTCTAAGATGTCCTTTTCAGCTACAGAATCTTCCTTAATAAACTTTGAGAACACATGACGGACAAGTTCCATGCAAAGGATCCCTGTGTCCTCTAGATATTTCCAGTAATTGATAAGTCTGGATTCTAGCCCCTAAATAAACAAACAACAATGTATTCGTGTACCTGATAATGGAACAATACGAAATGGCTTATCTCGTATTTCAAGCGTCTAAGAGTTTGCATTTGGACTCATGAATAGCAAAGCCCCCCTCCCGCAGCTCAAGGTCTGGATCTGCCTCTGTTATTAAAAGTTGCAAGCAAACCTTTTACAATCAACATTTAATTTATATACAACAGCAAAAGCATTTTTAATCAAGTTTGGTTGTGATGTTGTTTGCTTTCTTAAATAAGGATCAAAAGGGCTATAAAATGATAAAATTAGAAGGTTAGTAAAACTTGACTGCATTCTGACCAGTTTCATCAGGTATTCTTGTTTCCTAGACAAAACGATCATTGTTTCCATTTAATTGTAAAAGTGCTCTCCCATAATAACCAACTCTAGATTTCAGATAATCACAGGAATAATTTTTTTGAGCCTAATAATAGTAACAATAATACTTACAATTACTACTATTAATTTTTTGCTAATAATGATAATAACAACAATAAAAGTTTACAATAAAAAACAATTACATGTATTGTTCCATTTCATTGTAAGGGTTAAAAGTTTCGAATAGCAAGGAGTATAGAGGAAATGGGTTCTTAATCTATTTGTTCAAAAAATTTGCAAATATTGGCGTGGTATTTTTTTAATTTTGTCTTTTACATTGACTAAAGCTGAATGCCCTAGCTTAAGTGGCTTTGAAATTCATTCAATGTGAGCAGAAAAATGAAACATTTCTTACCACTTCCTCGTAACGTGGAATAGTAATCAGTTGTTTGAATAAGTCAATCAGCCACTGAGCCTGCAGGACAACTGTACTGCCATGTTTTACTACCACACCAAGGTCATGATAGAAATCCAGCATTACACCAAGCTCAGTCTCGTCTTTAACAAAGCACACCTCCTTGACAATGGCTTGAAGATCTTTGATATTCAAGTAAAACGTATGGTTTCCATTTAAAGCTTGAACCACTTTCTCAAAATTGAACCATCTGTCAAAGAAGAAAATAACA